TTTGTTGGTTGTTTCAAAAATGTGATTTTTCCTCTATTTGTGCTCGATATCTATTGTTTTAGAAATCAGGAGTGGATGAGTTCAATTTTGAAATCTGTTCATTAGGTTTGATTCAAAAATCTGTCTTATCTATTTTATTTTCTTCTCTATTTGGTTACAGTAAAAAATAGTGAAAGTCAAAGTATATGATTTTGTATTTGATTTGTGCTCGTTATCTGTTGTTTCATAAATCAGATTTGGGTTAGTTCAATTTCGAAATTTGTTTGTGTTTGATATTTGTTGTCTAAAGATCCTTTATTAAACTGTTGTGTTCTTGTTTATGTGATGTGAAGCAAGGGCCAAACTTTTTACTTTATTTTACTTTGAATATCTCAAATTTGAACTTGGATTTCCTAAAAAATGTATTCATAATAGAAAAAATAATTTGATGAAATTCCAAATATCAAAAGAGAACATCGGTCTTCTCAACAGGCATTTAAAAATGATTATTGTCCAATTTAAAAGTAGATTTGAACAAATGCAATATGTTGAATCTATAGTTGGTTTTTGTTTGATGCTTTCAAATTAATTTGTTGAGTTGATGATGAATTAAAAAAAGTGTTGTTTAAATCTTGAGCCCAATTTGACAAATGGTGAATAATATGATATTTATGGAATTGGTTTATTTATTGGTTTACAAATTTTGGAAAAAATCTTTTCTGATGAAGCATATAAAGTTGAAAGTCCTTGGACATCGATATGTTCCCAAATGTGTTGGTTGCATATAATATATTGTTGACGATGTCAGTTACGATTGTTTCCGTGGAAAGAAGTTTTTCAAAATTGAAGTTATTGAAATCGTATCTTCGAAGTACCATGACTCAAGAATGATTGAATAGATTAGCAATTTTAAGTATTGAAATTGATTTTTTATAAAATATTGATTATTGTAAAATCAGAGATGTTTTCGCATCAAAAAATACATGGAAACATCGTTTTAGATGATTTATGTAGGCGTTTGTTTTTATTATTTGTGTGATTCTAAAATTTACTGCATTTTTTATTTTATAAATCTTTTATATATACGTTTTCTATATCGTATTGTACATATATAAGGGTATAAATTTTTTATCTCGTCCCAACCATAAATATAGTAGTGAGTGACTCTGTATATAATAAAATTTTAATTAAACCATTTTGATTATCGTTTTTATAAAAATATTAATATGTATTTTTTAATAATGTAGGTTGGGAGGGTTAATGTCCTATTTAAAGTTTGGAAAATGGAAGAGAGAGAAGGAATATCAATGAATCTGATTATTGCAATTGCTCTGGATACCCTTTTTTTAGTTTCTAGGTTCTATTTCTTAGTTCAAGATCTCTCTTACTAACTGGAATCAAAGAATTAGTAGATCTGTTCTGCCCAAAATGGTAATGGGTTTGGGTTATGAACTTATAATCTGTAATATGATGATCAAGTTGATTTTATGATTATAAATTCATTTCATATCGAACCGGACCGGAATAGGGTTATATACATTCTCATCGTGAGAAGGGGTCATTTGAGTGTATCTAAATAGATACTATATTTATATATGGATCCCTAGTTACATTCCATTTAAGATTAGGAATAGGCGTAATCGGACCTACTTTTCACATATCTCTCGTTATTTGGGACCCTATTCACCTCTTTGGGCTTCTATTGAATCAACAAATAGGTTTGATTGTCCATCTTTTTGATATATTGGATATCTATATAAGGCATTCTCCGGATAATGCAAATTGAAGCAATTGGATGTCCAATTCGGGCCTAGATGACATGACCGATCAATAGAAATACTCCAACACTCCATTTTTATCATATATTCCATACATCACACTAGATAGATATCATATTCATGGAATATGACCCACTTTCAAGATGCCTTGGTGGTGAAATGGTAGTCATGCGAGACTCAAAATCTTGTGCTAAAGAGCGTTGAGGTTCGAGTCTTCTTTAAGGCATAATATTGAGAATGCTCATTGAATGAGCAATTCAATAAGAGAGCTCAGATACCAATATTGATTCAATCTGAGCTCTTTTGGAATAAGTTCGGCAGCGGATCACAAAATCTTAGTCATCTTCTCTATCTAATGAATGGGGAGTCCGCTTTAAAATTGTCCGCCTATACCCACTCCACCAAAGTATATGCTTCAACAGGAATCACACAAGGGTATATTATAACTAGTAAAATGACCGCCCGTAACCCAGCAGATAAAGTACATTACATAGCATTACATAGTCCGTTTTAGGGATTGGCGACTTACTCATTCAGTGACTTTGGCGCTGAACGTTCCCCAGACGGGTACTATCGGGTCGGGTGAATTCAATAATAGACTCTCGTTGGCATTCTAGCCTTCCTTCACCTTTCATGGCCACATATCTTTCCGGCTAAGGATTGGTAAATCCTTATCCTGTTATATGAATCCAATTTGCATTTCATCTGGGAAAAGCCATCTTTTTCTCAACAATGCCTTTGTCATTTGATCCAATAGTGTTCCATTAGATAGGAACAGATTTGATAAATACTAATAACGCTCGGATAGAGTATTAGAACGGAAAGATCCATTAGATAACGAACGAATGGTTCTAATCCATCTCTGGCGATTAATCAACAATTCGAAGTGCTTTTGTTGCATCTTCTTGATAAACCCTTTGACATCTCTTCATCTGCAAATAATTTTCGATGTGAAAACGCAGAGACAAAGGGCTAAGCTTTAAATAGGAAAAAGAGTGGATGTGCAGGGTCCCAAATGAATTGGCCTATTCGAAAAAGGCCTTGTTCTTTGGAACATATATCTTGTGTTTGGTATTGTATGGTTCCACTATACAAGAGCTCCAAATCATTCTCTTGAAGCTCATCATCTTCATCATAAATGATCTGCATTCCCCAAAATGACCTGGACCAATAGGGAAATCCCAATTCATTGGGCCTTTCGATACAATCAAATAGAAAACTCCAAGGGTGCCATATTCTAGGAGCTCAAACTATGTGATTTAATAAATCATCCTCTATCTGTTGCCGGTTGTCCCCTTATTCAAACTTTGATTCGTCTTTTTCATAAAGGAATCTTTGATCAAGGATAGAACAAGATCCATTTTTCCATCATATCTAAGGGATTGCTTGGTTCGGCTCGAATAAGCAATGTCACTCGATCCTTATCAAACGGGTTGCATGTTTGTGAGGATCCCACCAGAGTGCCTTCCACTTCTAATAGGCCACAAACTAGACCATAATCATTCTCAACGAGTCCATAAGGAGTGATCCCATTTTTTTCATCGGGTCCGGGTAGAGACCAAATTTCTTGAGTGACCGATCCGGTAGAACAACTCAAAAGATAAAGAAGTATCGTTAATTTCTTCATGCTCGTTCCAAGTTCGAAGTACCAATTGTACAAATAATAATCAACTTCGTTACATGATTTATTTTTCATATAGATGGATATAGGATCTATGGGGGAATTACTTAAAAGTACATTTTGTGTTACAGCCCTTCATATCTTATAGAAAAGGATCCCATGATCCTGGACCGATCTTACCTAGGATCATGAATCCGAAATTTGTCTATGAAGAGCGTATCTAATTGTATTAGTATTTATAATTGATTTATTTTGTGTAATACTAATCGATAGGGCCTCATTGGCAAGTGCTACACGATCTCGTGCATTGTACGCATGGTTATGGACCTGAATCCATTAGTATGGAACAATTTCTTTTCCAAGTGAAATCCCCTAGTATATGAAAGAGTGGAAAAGTGTTTTCGTTGTTGTGGAATAAGAAGCCTTCGTATCTTAATGCACGTATTTAATTTATTCGGAGCTATTAGAGCGGGATCCACTTTTTGAGGAATATGAGTCGAAGCAATAACAAGAATATTTCTAGTTTCATAATCCTTGGAGAGCAGGTTCACTAATAGACATCGGGACAAGTAATTCTACTCATTCACATCTAGATGATGAATGTTTGGAATCCATATTATGCAAGGAGACATTGTTTTTGCTAATTCGAATTTAAGGGTGATATAAAGTAGGTATTCATCTTCAGGCATCATATCCATAGCGCATTCATGCTAGTTGGCAGTTTCAGCTCCATATTAAAGATATGGTCACTAGAATCAATATCGTCACTAGCATCAACATCAATATTATAAAAACCTTGAGACTTGTTATCTAGGGACTTGTTCAGAAATACCGTAATGAAAGGAAGATATGAGTTTTTTGCTAGGTATTTAACCAAATAAGATCGTCCGGTTCCTATAGAACCTATTACTAAAGTAACCTTAGAGAGGGATAAAGCTAAGCGGAGCGAAAAGTGCTTTCCATGAGATGGGAAATGCAAACTATTAGCCCCACATGGAGTTTGTTGATAAGTGATTGTCTGATAATGAGCAAAGAATATTCGTCTTTCATCTAAAGAAGATGTATTGAACTCATAATTCATTAGATACTTTTTATGAATGTCAACTAAGTATCGTAAGTAAATTGCTCCCGGTTGTTCAATCATTTGATAACCAGAGTCAATCAAATCGATGTTTACAACCCAGGATTCTATTTTATCATCAATCCAATCCCCGTTCACGTTTTTTCTTTTTCTTATCAATGAATAGATATTTTTACTTGTATGACTTAGATGTCTCGTATTTTCGAAGAAAAAAAAAAAAACCTCATGTGGTGTCTAAAGTATGGAAGGGTTAGATGGTGTTGAAGTATGGAAGGGTTAGATTTCATCTTTTAATGTTTAGAAAAAATGAGAGAGGAAAAAACTTATATGGCAAGAGCGTGAGAAGAAGAGCGATTTCAAAACTTGAAAAAGACAACCACAAACACACAAAAAAAAAAGTATAATTTACTCCACTATATCTATCGTTTTCTTTATTATTAACTACTTTATATATTAACCCAAAATTCAAAAAACAAAGGTGTTGTCAACTCACTTTCAATTTTCAAATGCATTTCCATTTTCAAATTCAAAGGAAAAAAGTGAGGCTTCACATTCAACTCCATTTCAATTTTTAAAATCAAAGAAAAAAATGAGGCCTAAATTAGCCTAAAATTAAGCTAGAAGATTTGAATTTACATTCCAATTACACTCGCTAACATCCAACAGCCGACCTCACTGAAATCAGTTATAAGAAAATGGTACTTTTTAAGAAGAAAAACGAAAGAACAATTACAACTAAACCCCTTTGACACTAATCTTGCTTTTCAATCAATTCTCAACCGAATCAGCTGCCGGTGTTTGCACTTTAGGAGGCCGCCCTCTTCCCCTTCGTTCACCACCTGGCGGTGGAGGTTTCGACGCGGTTGAAGCCCCTCCTACCTTCGGAGGACGCCCACGTTTGCGGCCGCTTAAAGACTGAGCAGCTTTTTTAGCAGCAGAATCCGGATTCGGCGGACGGCCTCTGGGTCTGGCCGGGCCAACTTTCACCGGCGTCGGAGCGAGTGGATCTTGAACTTTCTTGGGACGGCCTCTGGGTCTAGGCGTGGAATCAGTGACCGGAGCAAGAGGATCTCGAGGTTTCGGCGGACGGCCTCTGGGTCTGGGAGGAGAAACGACGATGCCCTCCGGGGGAGATTGCTTTGGTTTCGCCGGCCGGCCTCGGCCTCGTTTCGGCGTCGCATTTGGATCGGGTTTAACATAGTTGTTCTTGACAATGATTAGTTCGCCGCTAGCTTTCATCTTGTTGAGGTGGTGTGAGAGGAGGGTTGAGTGCGCCGCCGGGAGGCTGCCGTAGGTGTCTTCGATTTGCTTCGAAATCGCAGATTTGTTAGCTCCGTTCTTTTCATCTACAGCCTCAATCGCAGCAAAAATCATCTGAAATGAGGCAAAATCAGTCAAACTCAACAGATACATAAAATCAAAACCAAGATAGTAAATTCAACTCAAATCCAACGAAATTCGTGTAAAAGATAATCAAAAACCCCAAACAAAACATAAGAATACGTATCAAGAACCATGCTCAAACTCATTATCGAATGCCACTATATGCCGATTTGAATACTGAACAAGAAAATAAAAAAGTTGGGTAGAAATGGGCCCCAAAGAAAATAAAATAGCTAGAAAAATCGGAATCAAAGTACAACAATTAGGTTCAATTAAGTCCATCCAGTGATTATCATCAACAAAATTCAAGATTAATCAAGTTACATAGAAATTACAAATAACAAGTTAAATTGTTTTTACCTCGGGGTACTTGGGAAGAACTTGGTATGGAGAAGGAGCTGGTGAATCGGTTTGTGCTCCAGCCGGAGCTGGTGAATCAGTTTGTGGCTCAACCATGGCGCTGGGGAAGACGATGAGATGAAGGCGAGGGTCGGAAGGTATTTAAGTAAAGATCGGAGTTTGAACAGGGATTAGATCAGGCTCTCAAATTGATCAGACGGCTAGGGATTGCTGCTGATTCTGATTATCCGACGGCTGATGTGAATTTCTGAACTGCGCGAGTTGGATTATTGACCTGGCAGGTATTGAAATTTTTTGTCGCGACACTATTTGATATTCTTTTTAGATAAATCTCAAAAATGGTCCTTGTGGTTTTCTCAAATTTGAGATATAGTCTTTAAATTCAAAAAACTTTATAGATGGTCTTTATGGTTTCAAAACTTTTAACCAATAGTCTTTCATCCACATAAAAAGACTTATGTAATTTTTGGTGTGGGAATTTGGATGGTTGAATCTCATAAAGTTGGCAACTTTATGGATCCATGTGATCATTCTAATGTTATATGTTCCCAATCTGAGGATTTATGTAATTTTTGGTTCCATGCTCAAGTTTAAGCCTTTATTGTCATGTTTTTTTACCTAAAATGGAAGGGACATGCATTGGACATGCATGTCTATAAAGCTGCAATTTTTAGAGCTTTTTTGGAGTATGGAATCATTCTGGAAACTTTGGATGTGCAACTCTATAAATTTGGTGCTTAATGGGTGTCTTTATGTTTTTTGGTTACTCTTAAGGAATTAGGGTTTGGGATCTTGATTTATTGAGGAGTCTTAGTGGATAACATTGGAAATTTTATCCATCAAGACCATGAGAAAGACCAGATATGAGCTTTGGAGCTCTTTGAAGGTGTGGGAAAATGACTTAATGGTTAAGCTGTCCATACCAGTCCCCACGGCGTAGCCTTAGGTTTCCAAGACGTGGCGACTTAGTAGAGGTACATCTGCTTTGTAGTTTAGCAGCCACGACGTGGTCAAGCATGGCCACGGCGTGACGACCAACTGGAGTGACTTTTGACTTTGACCATTGACTTTAACCAAGTTTGACTTTAGGTTAATTGGGATATTTTGAGTTGTATATCGAGGCTTGGTCCCTAGGTGTTGAATAGGTGACCCGTAGAGCCGGTAGTTGGAGCAACATTCAATTCTGCTATCTTTCTGACATTGAGTTGAGTTTTCTTCACTGTACTTGTGGGTCAAAGACATCAATTTTGGCCCACTGGATTATGTATACTGGTATATTGGATGGTGTTATGTTGGTTATATGATAGACTGGTATATCTGTATGATTACATGTGTTTACTAGTTATGTGTTAGACTAGTAGATCTATATGATTACCTGTGCTTGTTGGTTATTGATTGTTATTGTATATGTCGACATGTTATGGTTTCTTGGGTTGAGGCGGTCATGCTTTGTGCTGAAGGCCAAGACACCCGGGGGGGTCCGGATAGGCTGTAGGCCCTGCGAGGCGGTCAAGTCATGTTGAAGGCTCATATATGCATGTGGTTATCTGTTTTTGGTTGTATGTTGTACTTTGGGGGAACTCACTAAGCTTTGGCTTACAGTTTGAACTTGTTGTTTCAGGTAATTCAGGGGACAGGGGCAATGCAAGGCTTGATTGTGCACATCATCCTGGATTTTTATGAGATTATGGTTTTAGGATACTCTTATTCATGTTTATGACTTTTGGAAACTATGTATTGTAAACACTTATGGTGTTGGATTGGTTTCAAAAATGAAAAATTTTACCTTGATTTTTGAGATGTTACACATTTTAACGTCACACAACCCGACGTTTCCGCCGCTGGTCGGGGGGGTGACTTATATGAATATACCTTCATACGTGAATACACGATATAAACGAAATATGTCATTTAATATTACATTATGAATATACATTCACATGTGAATCAATATATGTTTATTAAGAGAAAAAAACAAATATGAAAAGTTATATGTTATTCGTATGTGAATCTACCATATACAAATTTATCATGTAATATTCACATGTGTATACAACTTCACACATAAATATACTTTAAAAACAAAATACTCATTTAACATATTGCCTGATAGATATTGTTTCCATGTGTTTATAGGTTCATGTAGCAAGCCATAAATAGGGTGGACCTAGAAACGTTAAGAACATGGACTGTGACTTGTGTTGCATGCTTTATTTATTATTTCTTTAATTGTGGTTAGGATATGGATTGATACACCCGTAATTTTTTCTGGAAAGGTTTTTGAAACCCTGGTTTTGGAAACAATGTGAATTCATTTAATATTTTCAGAATTTTATATGATATATTTTATGAAAAATACGGGTTGTTACACAGCCCCGTCGTCGGTACCATTTGAAGCGAAACCCACCTCCACGTGTGTGTTTGTGTGTTTATATGTAATTGACACCTCAATTAGTTTTGTATCTTAATCCATTACAAAATTAATGGATCAGTTGGCAGCCAATCTCACATACAAATGATTACTACAATTACTTTGTGATATCATTTTGTAACAATCACTTAGGGGTTGTTGGCAGGATCTAAATTTTTAAGATTTGAATTTTTAAGAGGTCTGAATTTCTAAAAGAGTCTGAAGTTTTAAGAGCTTAATTTTTAACATGTTGTTTGGTTGGGACCTCTAAATTATTGTGCTGAATTATCAAAATGACAATTTTACCCTTATGTTTTATTTTTTTATTGAATTCAAGTGTTTGTTTATAAAATAACCTAATCAATTTCTTAAATAAGTTTAAAAAAATATAAACACCATATAAAATCCAAATTTAGCATAAATCAAAATTAAACGCAAATAAAAAATAAATATTTTTAAATCCAAAAAATCATACTAAAATCCAAATAAATCCTATAAATTTATTTTGACCCTAATTGATTCGCAATCTGGTCACGCAAATTATCCATGTATTCGTTGCCTTATGAACCCCATTCCATATCGTGTACGTTTTGGAATTCTGGACTAATGTCCAAATAAATACTATAAATAAATCCTATAAATTTATTTTGAGCCCTTATGCTTGACTATTGTTCCCCTCGAACGCCATAAATAACTCATCATGAATATTGCATTTCCTTATGAAATTATGGCTGCAAAACAAGCAACGACTATATCTCTTTGCACTAATGAAAAGGAGCCATTTGCTTTAGGATTGGGAATCTCACCTTCAAAACACTGTAAGTGCGTTCAATAACATTTTTGAGTTTCGCATGTGCATGATTGAATTTTTCTTCCTTAGTTAACGCATGTCGTCGTCGATAATCGGATAACCAATACCTCGTGTTGCGGTAAAGAGTCATAAATCCACGAGTGTTGGTGTATGCAACATCACAAAAGTAATATTTATCTATACACATGAGTGAAGGAAGTATTATACATAGAAATTTAAAATCATATTTCATAATAAATTTAAAAAGAATTACAAACCTAGAGGAGGGAACGAAAAGCCTGAAGTCGGGTTAAATGCAACTTATTTCAAAACTTGTGAATCATGTGTTATGCCCTCCCAACCGGCCCATACGAATGTGAATATCATATAAAAATCACAAATTTCTAAAACAATTTGAAAGTATTCACTTTTTCCTCTTCCCCTGTAGCGAGTTTGTTGATCAGTAGGCACAACTGCATGTACAAGAGTTCCATCCAATGCACCTATTGCTCCAGGAAATATTTCTTTTAGCCTACGATGTCGCTCTGAGGAATTCACGGTTGCATTAGAATGCGTTGGCACTATAACTTCTTTTGCAAAAATGCTAACCGTTCCCGCTCGACTCGTGGAATGTAGCGAGCGCGGAACATATCCCATAACTACTCCCAAGTAACTGCAACTCTCTGGTCATCAGTGTAAGACCCAATCATCAACCTCCACCAGTCCTTTGCCCTATAACTCAGCATGTTCAGGATCTGACCTTCTGGTCAGTAGGACATGAACATGTGAAGAAGCACCCCTCCACATCAGATAACCACCTCATAGCCTTGATGGGATCCTGAGTCCCATCAAAAGTAGGGGGCTTCGTGTTGTCGAAGTCCCGATACTGAAAAACCCGCCCGACTCCCAATCCTGCCGCCGATACAACTAATGTGGCTGATGCGGCAGCCGCCTCAGTGAGGGTTGCATATCGATCATCGAAATACTCCACCATAGCGGTCTTGATAGACCCAAACATCTCCGACAACTGAGCCCGAAACATAGCAGCAACCTCATCATGCAGGATCTCCCGGATCCTGTCATCCATCTCATTTGGCCTCATCTGGCCGATAGTCTCGGGCGCTGTCGGCGCCTCTTGTCCGCCCACTCCCTCTCCTGATCCTGACACGGATCCAGTCACGAATCGCCGTGTAACCACCATGTTGAAAACATACCAAAAAGATATCAGATATTCCACATAACAATCCGGGAACCAACTCCCAATCAAAACCCTAGGGCTTGTGACTTCCTTGCTACGCATATGGGTCCTGTGTTTTCAGTAGTACGGGCCCATACTACCGTCCACACCTACCCATATTTGTCTCAAGTATCATCACAACACCATAAAACTATACATAAGCATGGCATGCGCTCAATCATCTCTCCTAGAGGAAGGCTAAATATCTCATAATCGGTGGACTCATCCCAAATAACCTACCCATCCATGAAACTTCCACCAACCCTGCAGCACTCGTGTATGCTAACCATACATAATGCTGGACCCTATAGACTTTCGAATACCTGATCCTACCCTAAGCCGTTCATCAGACAAGAACAGGAAATAAGGCTAAACCAAACATTCTCAGGCTATAAGATCTTAATCATGTACAACCGTAATACATACACTAAGTAACTACAGTAATGATGTCAATTTCATATAGTATAATCCCTAGGCTACCAGGCATCATATAATCAGGCAATTTTATCATGCAATTCCTAAAGATCCCTAGCCTAGTACTAGCATGTTGTTCTAACATATCACATAAATCAAATAATCTGTAAGGTATTGTGGGGTCTATCCGCGAGCTCCGACTGATCGTACACTTGCATCCTCCTTTATTATTTTGAAAACATTTTAATAAAATCGTTTTGAAAACCTTGTCCTCAGTTTGAGACTGGAGACACACAGGTGTTTCCTCCAATTCACTCAAACCAATGCTTTGATACCAACTTGTAACATCCGTAAAAAAAATCACGCCAAATTAAAACTTTTTAAAACATTTCAAAACC